AAAGAAAAATAAAAATGTGAAACTCTTTGCTGTTTGCTTTGCTCTTTCTCGGTTTCTCGTTTTCGCTTTCGAGTTTCAACGTGACCGGAGACTGTCTCTGATTCGTCTGTTCGCTGGCTATCAGCGAAGTGTCTCTGATCGTGTCGCGACACTCGCGGCCGGGCCCGGCCGACGGCGACCCGACCCGCGTGATAATATCGTCTCTCGCCGTCTCACTGTCGTCGCCATTGGCCCCGATCATCGCCTTCAGGAGAACTCGTAGCAATTCTCGCGGATCTCGAAGTAGAGATTCAGCAGTGCCGACTCCGGCACGTCGTGGAAGCACCTACCCTCTGGCCACTGTACGCATACTGGAACAGAAAAATTCGGACGGTTCAGGTTAGCGGGCGACCTCTCGTTGACCCTTAACGCTAAGATTGAAGCGACGAATTCCGAAACAGCGAATCATTTCGAGAAAATCGATCTTTCTTTTCGTCTTCGTTAGTTCATTCGTTACGTATTTCATCGATTCTCGCTGTAAATATTATTAAATAGGTCTGAGTGAAGTGAGAACAGTTAAATCAATAATTTATACAGGTGAAATTTAAAAGTGGACATATGCTGTTTTGGGAATTCATGACTTAAACTATTGAAAGAGCTAAAATGATCCATTTCGGAATTCTTCTTTTGCAATCATTAAAGACAGCAGATGCTTGTCTGAGGAACTATTAAGAAAATTGAGATAGAAATAACTAAATTGTCATCTGATAACTGAATAGGTACGATCTTAGAGTTTCTATAGAGTAATTCAGAAATGTCAACTTGACTGCTCGGTGGTTGTAGAGTTAATTACGTTACAATTATTCACCGCAAGATCAACGTACATTGTAGCTCCTCAATGTTTATTTTCAATTTAACTTAATACTACGTTTCTGTTGTCGCTATCATTACATCTGAACGACCACACTTGAACTTAATAAAAGAACTTCGAAGTTTCGCGAACGACGCGATTATAGATTAAATATTCATTGTCCAATTAGAATTACATGAACGTCTATTCAACGACGCGACCCAGTTTTTATAAATGAATATTCTATCTTCCAGCTTGCTAACTGCAATAGAAGATGCACCCAATCCAGTCGAAATAAATTTTAAAGAAGCCAAAGACATCATTTCTTATTTCCCTTTTCCTTCTATTTCTATCCTTCAATACCTTCTTTTATCGTCTACATATTGCACCATTATTCCCTGTATTCTACATAATATAATTATTATTATAAACATATCAATAAGAACGAACGATAAAAAGTCAATATCGTTGATGTGAAATAAAAATCCTCCGACACCCAAGATTCAACACGTCACCGCAATATGAAATCACCAAAATAAATCTTTCGTCGAGCGCACTACGGAATCTATCACAATTTTCATTTTGTCTACGGTGTTTTATAAAATGGAGGACGGGGAACAAGGCGAGCGTCCCGGAGAGACGCTGATCGATTGCCTTTTATTTCTCCATGGCTCAAAGGATGCCGGCCCAAGTGTGTTTTCTCACGAAAGCAGATCCTCCACGGGAATCCTTCACCGAGCGACGGTTTCCGTCCCACGCGATAAATTATGCTCGCCACGATATCGGCACCGAAATAGATCGCGAATCTGCCCGAGACATTCATCTTTCCCCTCTCGAAGCTCTCGTCGCTCCTGTCGCGCTTAACGCATGTAAATTGTAACCGATATACGGATATTGAAATATAACACAAGAAATAAATCTTCGTAGCATGATAAAACAGAAATTTCGTTCACGTTTTCAACGGACCATCGAGCAACAAATAACACTGGGTGACTGGGTTTTGTAATAAATCAATTTTACGTTGAAATTAACAGGTTGCGTTTCCGGATAACAGATAGACGCAATCGTTTATTACTTGCCATCACAATTCTTACGTTACGCTATTATATAGCTACTAAGCTATCCAAATTCTAATTCTAAGCTAAGCAATCGAGACGATTAACAATCAATCAGAGTGTTAAACAGAATATTATGAAGAACAATTGGAAAAAGTGAAAAATCGTATGGGAAGTTTCAGTTGAATAATAACTCTTGACCAAAGGATATCTTTCAATCAGTGACAGAGTAATTTTGTTCAATAATTTTATAGCCTCCGAAACGAAAGGAACGAAAAAATCGGTCGAAACGCCCCAATTCAAAGCTGATCAACTACAAGAGCTCGGCTATTGACACAAATACACGGCCGCGCCGCGAGAAATGAATCTCTAAATTAATTTTAAGCGGTCGAAAGAGCCGTGCACGCGCGGCGGCCATCGGAACGAACTTCAATCGAATTAATTCGCGCGTAACCGACCGACAGCAGTTTGTCGACATGTACGATGGATTGGCTTCCGCGGAAGGATCGTGTCTGGATAAATATGAATTCGCAACGCGCCCTGGGACGGCTTTTTCACGGATACGATCGGATTTATTCGGGCCTCGCTTCGGATAAATTAAACGATACTTTCCCTCGCGCCGCCGGTAATTTCGATGGGAGTTTATAATTCCTGTCGCACGTCGATAATGGAATTCCGAATGGAAATGCCAGTCTGGCCGGGGAAAATCATTCGATCCGTAACAATCACCGAAGGACAATTCAATTTTTCCCTTCTCGGTATTGTATTCATTAAATTGGCTCCGTGCGCTCGCGCCGACAAGATGGCGGGTACGGGAAACGCGAGACGCTTGACAAAGAGAATGGAATTACCGCTGGTAAAAATGGACGTTTTCATTAACGAATACTTTATTTAATTAAATACTGCAATCCATTTCGCTGTACGTCGGAAATTTTCAAGGAGCTCATTCGTATTCGCGTTCAGTAAGTGCTTTGTGCTTCTTTTATATTCTTCAGAGCCGCGTGCAGAAATCTTTGTAAAACCGAATGCAAAGAACATTCGTTTGTGAAATGAAATTAGTCTCCATGCGAGTACTTCGTTATATTCCTGATTCACGGCGTAACATTTAATTAACAGTATAATTAAATTCCATTTCTATTCCAGAAAATTACGTTCCATTAGCAAATCAATGTTCTCATGTGCATTTCAAAATACGAGTTCGCCGCAATCTTAATATCTATACCTTCAAAATTTCTATTAAAAAGAATACAAACCAGTCAACTTAACTACTCTATACTTCCACCATTACCACGCTGACTGCCAAGAAAACCTCCACAGTATTATATATCGCTTATTTCTTTGTAGCAAAGACAAAAAGAAACAGTTACTTATCATTTGCAATCGCAATGAATACGTTACTCCGTTATCCGCTTACTTACGCCGTTGAACATTTTCATCCATTACCCGACAAATCATAATGATTTTCAAGTAATTTGGAAGCTCCGGTGATCGGTGACCGCGACAGTCAACGCGTTAATAGCAAACACGTCGAGCCAATCTCTCGCGTTCCATCAGACGTATTCCCCAATCCGTCTCAAGCTGTTCCGTCGCGTACGAAATCGCGTTTCGCACTAATCAACGTCGTCATCGGTTCCTCGATAACCCCAGACACATCGGGCCTCTCGGCCAATCCCGTTGTCCCGCTGTCCGGCTTCTCCGGGATCGGCGGAAGATCGGGAGAGCCGATCCAGCGCGCGGCGCGACATTAACGGACAGTGATTTACGCGGCCGTAACTGGTCGCGATTTCAGGATGGTCAGGGTTTGACGGGCGAACGTCGCCGCGGGGATTGATCGTGGGATCGCGTGACGGCCGGCCGTGCGCCGCGAACGATGCGGCCTTAATGAAACGGAAGGCGGCGAATTATTCGTCCAACCTTAACCCCCTCAAAGAAACACCACCCCCCTTCGTTCGATCTCTTCCCCCTCGCTCCGCCCTGCTCGAAACTGACGACCCGACTGAACACGCTATCTGCCCGCCGCGTAGAATCTCGTGGCGCATATCTCTGTCTAATTTAAATCTCAATTCTGCTCGTTGATAAACAACGGTTACACGGTCCTCGCCGGGAAAACCGTTCCACTGGCACACATGCGATCGACCGGCCGTTGGTTTTATTTTTGAAGCGCAACTGTTACAGAACTTCTGCGATCTACACGGCCGTTCTTCTTCGTGCATTTCGACTTCATTCTACTACGTTCGTTTCGCAGGAATTATTTTGGATGCTATTATTCCCTTTGTATGCTGTCTTTCTCAGCTACCTAAAATTATTTTGTTTATAGTTTATTAGAAAAAGGATAGAATTCCAATGGAAATCGTCACAACTGATAATAGAGGAATAATATTTAATTAGTACTCAAAAGAATGGAGTGACATTTATGTCAAGTCCTATTTAAATACTTCGACACGAGTCTGACATTGCGCGGCTTAGGGTTAACCCTTTGCACCCGAGAGATGACTCTCCACCATTTGATTCGATGCAGTAAAACTATAAAATTTGATATTTAATATTGTGTACAATGCATCGGTGTGTGAAATATTGGGATAAAAATGCTTTGTCTCTCAATTTACTCTATTTCTCTTTGAGTTTATTTCAAAAAAGTTTATTTCCAGTGAAACACTTACAAGTGCGAAGGGTTATCAGCCGAAATAACGTTTCAAAGTGATCGAATTTTACCGATCAAATTCCACAGGCTGATAACAGCAAATACATTCGAATCGCGCGACTGTTTACCTCCTCAATTCTAATAAACGTCTTCGTTACAGACTGCATGGTTCTCTTACAAAGTAGGTATGTATATACAGCCGCCGTATATACCTTCGTTTGGCTCGTGCACCGTTTCCCCTTAGGGTATCAGTGCCATTATCGAAGATCGAATATTCCGAAGGTAAACGTCTGTTCCCCGGTGCTCCGCGGGATTACGAAGGGGCAGCAACCCGCAAACACCGCGGGAATAACAAGCGAAAGGTGGTCTCCGCCGGAGGGTGTGTTTTCGCGGGAGCGCGTGTACACTGCGCGGCCCCGCAGTAAACTCCCCGCGCCAGCCGCGTCGGATGGAACGGCAAAGACGAGGCGTCACCGCGAAAAAACACGACTCGAAAAATCCATTTCGCGAAATCGACGCGACCGAGGCGCACGAAATCCGTGGGACGACCCCTTGGGACGCCCTTCGAAAGCGGGGCTCCCCCCGCTGCCATTGGAGGATGTTTTGGCCTCCATTTGCAAAATTGTTTCGACGGCTGATGAGACTTTGGGAAGAAAGGCAGCGGAGATGAGAACGAACCGAAGGGTCGTTCAGGTTGATGTTTGAAACTGAATGTTCAACATTTATTGGGTTCATGAATATTTATTATATCAGGGGAATTTTCGTGAGTTCGATAAGCGGTCTAATTACTGTTTAAAAATGTTTAGTAAACGAGCTGTCAACTTA